CTTCCAACCCAAACCATTCCATGATTCCCAAGAGGAGGGCCAGGGTCAGGTGCGCTCACACGCTGCAGATGTGAGTCAGGGCACGTCACCTCTCTGCTCGGCCACGGTAAGCACTCGCTGTTACCAGTCTGGAGCAGACAGAAAGCTGCCTGGGGTTTGCTGACACCCCACTTCACTCTGCCCACACACTGGTCCCCGTGCACGAATGGTTCATGTGTACTGGGAAAGGGGCACAGTGCCACCATGTACAATCCTTAAGTGCCTGGAAAGCACCTTGGTGTCCTGGGATGACACCAATGCAGAGATGCAACATAAACCTCCGACACCTAGAAAATATCAATGGTCTCTACGTGCTTATTCATTTCCATGTGCCTGCTTGCACGAGGCCACCACACCATGAAATCCAGGATGTTCTCACACCGTGGTAAGAAGGGAGATGAGAGCAAAGGGATAAAAGGACTTCAGAAAGGACTATTGAAGTGGAAGTTTAGAAATATGAAAAGCTTGCGTGCACACAAAGTTCTCATCTCTGCACAAGTACAAAGGATTTATTTTGGTACTACCCAAAGACCACATTAAAGGCAGCCATGGGGAGATGTGAAAAGTAAGGAACGCAGAAGGAAAGGAAGAGGAAAGCTTTGTGGGACCACCAGCACCAAGGGGAATCATGCAAAAGCTTCCCTCCAAACATATTTCTGGGAACACGTAATGCTGGCACCGTACCAAGAGACAAGAGTTTATTAAGGGAAAGTTTTTGGAATCCTGATGAAGTCAGTGTAAGAGCCACCACGGTTACAAACAGCCCACTGCAATGGGAAGCCAGTGCCTGCTCTGGAGCGGGGCCAAGGAAAAGCTGGCCAACAGCCCCAGGTGGCAAGGGCCAACTGCAGGGACTCGGCGAGGGGGAACTCCACCCGCCAGGAAAGTCCCATAGAGCTGCCCATGGACAACAGCCAGAGGAGAGAGCGTTCCCTAAATGTAGTCCAGGGGATCCTCAGTTACTGCAGGGTCCCGGCTGCCTTGCCTGCCCCCTCTGCAGAGTGACCAGCAGCTGCCATCTGAAAGGAATCACACTGCTCTGAAAGGTAGGAAATTCTTGCAAAGAAAAGAAGAGATGCTGCAGTCACTAGTGACCTTTGAAGCCTTCTGCAGCTCCCTGGAAGCCAGCTGGAACAACCAAAAGTGTGTCAGAAATCTCCTCCGAGCTGCAGGAATAGCAGCAGCAGCCAGTTAAGTAACCCACTGCCTCCCAAGGCAGGACAGCTTAGGCACAAAGAAGCAACCCTCAGCTAGACCCTTTCACGACCCACTTTTAGGATTCCCATGACTTTGAGAGTATCTCATCATATTTACATTTTCAGAAGATATTGTGATTTCCTGTCCAGACCATCTGGCACCACCAGCACTGACAGCTCACGTACTCCCCGCGTGCCAGCATGCACAGCCAACGCTTCTCTTCAGCCCTTGTCTCCTCGCTGCTGACCACACTTTAGAATGTCTACAGCTGTGGTTGCTCTCAGCCCCTCTGTCCCTGCTGACAGGTCAGGACAGCAGAGGTGGGTCCACAGTTTCCACAGCTCAACTGCAGGAGCCGGAACACATCCTCACCTGCATGCCTGTAAAGAAGAGCTAATAAAGATGCAGTTGATGACTTTGATAAATATAAATTAGTCTGGGTAAAATTCTTATAGTGATGGATGCTCTAGACTTTACACAGCTAGCTTGAAAACAGGTTTTTCACTCTTTTCAGGAAAGCCAGTGAGAAAAACCTCAGCAACCCATCAGGGCAGACAAAGTTTTACCAGAGTCCTAAAAACGGCTCAGCTAAAATGCAGGAAGGACTCCAACACTTACACAGAAGGAACAAAACCTTCCCCATGACCATCAATATTAACAGAAGCATCATCACTTCCAGAAAGATTGTCTCCAATCCCTTACCTTGCTATCCAACTTCTTCATTGTCACCAGGTCCAAGGACTTGAGCGAGTGTCCGGTTGGGGTGATGAAGTACAGGCAGACGTGGATCCTCGTGTCATGATAGTTGAAGAGAGATCGGCGGATTTTCAGCTCTTCTTGCAAATAGTTTTCAAACTGCGTATCAATGTACTCAACTATCGGCCTGTAACTAAAACCATACCATTAGCAACCCAGATACTGGAGCTCAAAATTAAACCGTTTGAAGGCTTAAGGAGTTCTCCTACACATACCATGGTGTCATTTCAAAAGTAGTTATTAAGACTCAAACAATTTAGCCTTACAACAGGAAAAGCGTGGCATTTACACGCAGACCTTGTAATCCAAAGGTTGTTGGAGTCTCCCGAGGCTGCGCTGCAAAGCCTAAGGACAGCAAAGCATGGCAAGATGACTCCTTCCACAAATCAAACTTTGCCCAGATCTCAGGGCTGAGCCATCTGGCTGTAGCAATGCAACATGACCAAGGAGAGACCTTGGAGTCCCAGAAAGCCTTTACCTGGGGCTTGAGCAAGATGTCTGTGTAATTAAATGAGACGGGTCCAGAGACACCGATCGCTGCCAGAACACGTAATTCCCAACCCTGCACTAAGGACAGCTTGTTAACTGCTCACGCTCCTGGAGGACACCATGCTCTGCTGGAAAGACCTCCTGTGACCTCTCTTTTTGGCTCTTCACCCAACCCCCTCCACACTTAGTCCCCAGAACCTGAGTCACTGCAGGGAGCTACTCCATTAACAGAAACACGGACGACTCCTCTGCCACCCCGCAAGCAGGGCTGCAGGCAGTTCACAAGCCCAGAAACGCCAAGCAGCTGGCACGAGACCTGCCTTTCGTCTTTATTTATCTGGTCCCCAAATCCAACCGCGTCCACGATCGTTAGCTTTAGGTGGACGTTGCTCTCCTGCAGATCATAGGTCCGTGGCCGCAAGCGAACTGCGCTCTCGTAGTGACTGGCTTCCTCCGTCTCAAACGTGGTATTGAAGAGGGTGTTCATCAGCGTGGATTTCCCAATGCCGGTCTCACCTAGGAGGGAGAAATCATCAGCCCACTGCAGCATGAATTTGTCATGAATTTCCCAAGAGGAAATGGGTATAAGCTTAGTCAGGGGAGATTCAGGTTGGATGTTAGGAAGTATTTCTTCTCTGAAAGGGTTGTCAGTCACGGGAATAGGCTGCCCAGGGAGGTGGTTGAGTCCCCATCCCTGGATGTGTTTAAGAATAGGGTGGATGATCTACTTGGGGATATGGTTTAATGGGGAATAGGGACGGTTGGACTCGATGATCTCTAAGGTCTTTTCCAACCTAGAAATCTATGAATCTATGAAGAGGGTGTTCATTAGCGTGGATTTCCCAATGCCGGTCTCACCTAGGAGGGAGAAATCATCAGCCCACTGCAGCACGAATTTGTCACAGGTACTTCAAAGGACATTAATTACAGAGCAGAACCAAATTGTACTGTGAAAGGTACAATACAAATTGCTTGTGGACAGACATTTAATTGTCACGAAGGTAACTGCGTTCTTGAAGGCCTCCCATGCTTAGTGCAAAGCCAACAGGGCACACTTCGGTCTCATCTCCCCAGGGAGGGTCACACAGCACAGCAAAGCACACTGTTTCCCTTTCCATGGACCCTGACTTTGCTTGGGATCCTCTCCCAGAGCAGCTGGGGAGAGAACAATTCTAGCAGAGTCTTTTGAGCCTTCAGAGGAGAAGGAGTAAAACTCAGCTGCTCCTTCTGGCAAGGACTATCCCCAAACACAGCGACAGCTCCAGGTAACCCTGCAGACCAGCACGAGGCGACGGGTGTTTGGTGTGCCGTGGAGGGGACAGGCAAGTCTGACTGTGAGGTTTCCTCTAGCTCCTTTCTGGGAGGTTCCTGACTTTAACAGGCTTCTCTACCACTCACTTTCTTGAGTTCATCTTGCCATTAAAGTCTCTGGGGACCCATGTTTTTTGAGAGTGGAGCCCCCTGTGCGGAGGGAACGTGGGTGCCTGTTCCAGCGCAGAGAAGCAGGCAGACAGCTCTGGACCTGCTGGGACAACTTGTCACCAGACTTAAAAAAAAAAAAATCTCTTTTCACAGCAGAAAAGACGCTGGATGAAGGTTTTGTAGTTTCAGTGTGCAGCTGAACTTTGGTCTGCCTGGAAGCCTTAAAGCAGCTTGTGCCTCTTGCACAGCCTCAACCCTGTAGTCCCACACGTCCCATCAATAACTGCCAAAGGACCACAGCTCGTTCTGCTGGAACCCTTTCCCGCTCCATCCACGCAGCAGCTACAGCAGAGTCGGCTCTGCGGCTCGTTTGCTCTCCGTTTTGAAAAGCACAGCGAGCTCCACACGGGCACTCCATGAGCTGCTGAGATTTGGCTCGGTACGTGCAGACTGTCCAAGACGGTCCCGTTCTGCACAGACACATCACAGACAGCATGTCTACGCTTTGAGATGATAGGGCCACTTGTGCAGCAAACAGAATTGGCCAAACTGGAGGAAACAAGCAACAAACTCTTCTGTCACATCAAGCGTGAGCTTCCACAGGCATCCAGATAACCTCTGCAAGACAGCAGCTGTCTGACAGAGACCAAGAGGTGCTGCTCTGCTCTGAAGAGCAAAACCTGCACAGGGAGATCTTGCAGCCCAGCTGGTTTCTCCTCTCATTGCTCCTCATTTCTGGAGTTTCCCTTCAGTACTTCTGCTTCTTTCCAGGCTGCCCTGTTGCCCCATGATTCGTCATGCCAGATCAGCCAAGGGGAGCCAAAACGGTGTTTCGAGGAAACCAAAGTGAAACCACTACCAAAAATGCCATATAGCATGTGTGACACAGAGCCCAAAGCAACGTTTTCAGAGGCCATGTTCCACTGTGCATTTTTACTGTAGACCTCAGCAGAGCCCTGTGCTGAAGCACTGAAGCCAGGCCTTTCCAAGGCATCTTCATCCTTCCAGCAGTAGAAAAAAAAAAACCTGCCAACTTGAATGTCTGAGATAGGGAGAGAACATGGAGTCAAGAGGGGATGGCAGAGAAACTCAACAGGGAGAGAACAGTTCTTGGAGAAACAGAAGGGCAAGATTAGGAGAAGTTTCCCATTTGTAGCCCTCCTGTTCCAATAGCCATTGAAGGACACCTGGGATGCATCACAAAACAAGCTCCACCCCAGAATATTTGGCTCACAGGCTGTCTGTGAGCCTTTCAACTGCTGTTTCTGGTAACTAAACGACTCTGATATTTTCCAGATTGGCCTAGAAGGGGCTCTGTTTGAACTCCTCATTAACTACACACAGCCCTACTCATGGAGGGAGAGAAGAGAGGAGAGGCCACATCCAAGGAAACAGCCTTCTACTCCCTGCTCGTCTCCAGCCCTACGGCGGACGGGCCGATGGGAGGGCAGGAGGGTGAGCAAGTTTCTGTTCGAGAGAGATGCCATGCCTGCTGCCACGGGTTTAGGGCTTTTTCCTCCTTCGAGTACCACAGGTTCTGCTCTTTGTTGGAGAATGAATGCCTCACGGTGCTCAGAATAAGGCAGAAGCACATAACACTTCCTACCAGCTGGCGTTAGGGGTTGTGCAAGGAAATAAAACCAGCCTAGATTAGTCTGAGAGGAAAGTCATATGGAGAACGCACTACTGGTGCAAGCCATGCCCCTGTGCAGTTTGGGCACAGGGGCACTGGCTGGTTTTTTCACCTTGTCAAAAAAAAAAAAAAAAAAAAACCAGTAATTTTTTCCACTATGTCACAAACGGTACGGCCAGATGAGAATGCAGGAGGTATTCATTCTGGCGTCCCCAGGAACAACATTAATTAAAAACATATTGCCCTCTGCTGCAATTACCCTTCTGCTAAGGAAGAAGTCTACGAAGTTCAACTGTGATTTCAGCCATGCTTTTTAGTTGTGGTTTGGATGTGCAGAAGTGGCTGAGCTATGGCACAAGCACCTTGTGAAAGCTGTCAGGGTTTCAGAGCACAGTCTATACAAAGCCATAGTCTCTTCTGGCAGGCTGAGGGCCAGGCTGGGAGCTGCTGTCTCTGCATGTATTTCTGCTGGTCTAGCAGGTTACAATACTTCAGACCTCGCACACAATACCAGAACCAGCCAAAGTAAAAATATGCTCACCTCATCACTGGAAGGAATTGGTTTCTAGTACTCTAGCCAGCATTGCCTGCTAGATCATGTCAATACCAAAATTAAGAACCAAGAATATAATGAAGTCATATTAAAGTTAGCCTCTCGCACCTGCTCACAATCTTCAATATAAACACTTTAGAATCAATAAAACCAGGAACGTTCCCTTCCCAAGCACAGAGCTGGTCATGCATCAGGCCCTTTGACCTCACCCTGGGAAAGCATGAAGCAGGCACAGCTCAGATACAAATCCATTATCCCTAAGGGACTGGCTTTGGGGTGCAGGCTTAGACTCAGAAATGACCGAGCTATCACCAGCAGCTCTCGGCTAACACATGGTGCATCTGACAGCATCTCCTCGGACGCCGTATCCATGGAGAAGCTGCTCATGCCAGCCACCTCAGATTGCAAATGGAAATATTTAACTTGCTCCATACAGCCTTCCCTTAATCCTTCCTATTGCAAAGTTATTGCAGCAGAGGAGATGAGCAACACCTCACTGATGATGGAAATTCTTCTGGTTTGACTCACAGACTTGAGACACTCAGAGCTCCTGCTGCTCTCTGCGGCTTCTGCACCTGCACTGGTAGCTCAGCTCGGTGCAAAGCTGGACAGTCCCACAGCTGCTTCCTCCCCCCTCACTGCTCACCAAAGGCAGAAAGTTGATATAATAAAGCTTTTCCAAAAACCATCTCTAATTCTGGGCAATGAGTCTCCAACAGGCGCTTGTGAAAGTGACAACTCAGAAGCATCAAGCTCCAGAGTTCAAGTTCACTGAAATGAAAACTTTTTTTTTTTTAAAAGAGTGAGGCATTTCTGACTTCCTTAAAGTCACTGCCGAGGCTCGTGGTGCCGCGGGACACAGGAGAAATCCTGGTCCCAACCTCCTGGCGCCACCAGCTCAGCCCACGTCTGCCTGCAGAGGACTGTGCTCACCCACGCAGAGGATGTTGAAGCTGAAGCCTTGTGTGACAGACTTGCTGACCAGCTGATCGGGGAGACTGTCAAAGCCCACATGGCCCCCCAGGGAAAGGTTCCTCTTCTCTTCATTCTAGCAGGGAGAAAGGAAAAAAAAAAAAAAAAAAATCGGATTAGCAGAACTGCACTGAGACAGCAAGTCAGAGACACGAGAGGAACCACCAAACCCAGGAAAGAACCACCCTCCCGGCACAGCAGAGCCACTGCCACAAACCCTAATGCTGCTCACAAGAGCTTGTGTTTTGGCACACCACAGCTCAAACCTTCCGACAGCCACCAAAAACAGAGAAGAGAGGGAAAAATACTGATCTTAATGGGGAACTGGGAGAACTAAGCTACCAGGCTACAAAGAAAAGAAAACACTAGCATGAGCTCCAACTACGTGCAGCTGGGACAGATTAGCAAATTAAAAGCCACCACTGTGTGTTTTAGTCCTCATTTCTCCTCATCCTTTTTAAATTTTATTTTCTTAAACCCTCCAGCACTGATTTCAGCCAGACAGACTCCGCGTCTTCCTCCCTGAGTACTTGATTTTTCCCTTTTGCTCTTGCCATAAGCAGCGTGGTTTTGTTTGCTTACAGGTCCAGGGGTGCTGGTCGCACCGGCAGGGCGAGGAACCCTCTTGCTTTACCATCTGTGACCACACAGTTTTCCACCGTTTCTCTGCTGTTCCTGTTCCTGCCTCCCCCATATGCACTTTGTTCTTCCTTCTGTCTCCTCCCTCGCTCCCGCCGAGGAAGGTGAAGCCGATCACCTGTAGGCAGCTTTGCTTAGAAACTAAGACAACGAACATTCGAGAAGACAACAGGTCTATGCTCGGTGTTATACAGAAAGGCAGCCCAGATCAGCTGTAATTCCAGCAGAGAGGATTCGGCTGATGGTTCATTTCTGTTTCTAGTGGTTAAGAAGAGAAGAGTTTGGAATTGCACGAATATTTCAACAGATGTTGCCACCTCCCTACACAACTCAGCAACGCTGCCTGGGCCCAGGGACCACACCACTGCCCCCACGTCCTCTCAAGCACTCTTATCCTTCCATGGAGAAGCAAAACATATGTTATTTCAGACCATGACTCACTCACCCTCACAGTTTCTTTGGTAAATGAGCATTTTTCTTAATCGCCAGCACACAGTGGAAGGCAGGGATAGGAAAAGTGCCTACCCTTTGCCTGGTCCTTCTGTCTGTCCCTGACAATTTGTACTTAACATCCCAGCACTGAGACTGCGAGACAATAGCGTGCACGGAGAAGAGCCTTAGCTGGCTGTCAAACTTTCAATTAACTCGCCAGGAAAACAAAAGAAACGACGCGATAAGCCCTGTGTATCGCTCCCTGCCCGCAGCGAGACTGCGAAACAAAACACCAACCTTTGTGCAACACGTCGCCACTCAAAGCTCCCTTTGGTAGAACAAATATTCTCAGCTTTGTAAAACAAACCATTTAAATCACAAGAACAACCTGTGAGCAGCTGAAGCAGCTCCTATGCCTCAAGCACAAACCTTCTGGCTGGCGTTCGTTACCAACCTTCAGATGATTTTAGCCCAGTGCTCTCCCGAGGGACAACCCAGAAAGAAACCCAACCGAACCACAGCTGGGCTCCTGTGATCAATTCCATTTCATCCCACCAGGATTGATCACGCTCATTAACTAAGCGGAAACAGCAATCTTTTAAAGTTTTCCCCGTGGGAACGACGGCATCAATTAAGGTTTTAAGGTGGCCAAGAGTTTAGGTGAATTAAAAAGGGCCCCTAAGACACAGAAACCTCCAAGTTAAACTTTCTGCCATCCATCTGTCACCACAGGAAGATGCTAAAGCTCAGACTGACACCTCTGCAGGGTCAGACCCCAACTGCAGGACGATTCCCCAGCACACAGGGAGAGAATCGAGCCTGTGCTGGTCCAGTTGCAGCCCAGCGCTGAACCACGGATCCGGCACAGCCCTGGGAAGGGAAACTTGGATGCATACGTGCTGGGAAAGGGCTCCGAGGTGTTTAGGTTTTTCCCTCTTAAGGAGGACACTGAAAGGGTGACATGAAGCCACTGCATCAGCAGAGCTCGGGGGGCTTCCTTGGGCTCTCAGCCCCACTTCTCTCCTCCTGTGCCACCACCTTGCAGAGCTCAAAACACCAGTTCCCACCACGGCAGCGCAGTGAGAGCCGAGCAAGCTGTTCCCGCAGCAAGTCACCGAGTTTGACAGTTACGCTTTGTGTCTTTTCATTTCAAATAATAAACAAAAACAAGCAAACAAAAACACAACCCAGCAGCCTGGGATGACATTTTGGAAGGGAAATAAATAAAGGCTGCCGATGGCTATGATTAGGCTGAGAGTGCCAGAGGCTGGGAAGGGGTTTCCAGGCAACAGGCAGAACCACTGCTCAGGATTTTAAAATAGGCTCCAGCTCGGCAAGGCTGCATTGAGAACTCGGTCATGCTTCGGCCGGAGGGAACCCAACGCGTTCACACAGGGCTTTCTTTTTCTCTTTTTTTTTTTTTGGTGTTTGGTCACTGCTCGTTACGGGACAAGAATACACTTACTCAAAACTGCCTGCCGTCTCTTAAAGCTGCTAAACCAACAAGCCGAACTTCAGCGAAATATTTTTGTCCGTGACCTTGAAATGCACAGTCTCCTTTTATTTCTGCAAGCAGCAATAACCATCTGGTTCGAGTCCAAGATGCTGCCAATACCACAGCAGAAAACCATTTGCTGTGCTGTCAGCTGTCATTCAGCCTCCAAAGGGATTTTGCTTTTGTTGCCGTTGTTTGTCCTAACGCAGCAACAACTGCTGGAAAGTCGTAAGACTCAGAAAAGAAAGGAAAGGGGAAAAAAAATAAAAAGTTTTCTG